GGCAGAGACTGACCAAGAGAGAAAATGTTGAGACAGTGTGTGACTGCAATAAAAAAGGCCAACGCTATGCTGGGGATTATTTGGAAGGGAATTGAAAACAAATCAGCCAGTATCATAATGCCCCTGTATAAATCAACGGTGTAACCTCATTTGCAGTACTGTGGGCAGTTCTGGTCACCACACCTCAAAAAAGATATTATAGCATTGGGAAAAGTGCAGAAAAGGACAACTAGAATGATCAAAGGGTTGGAACACTTTCCCTATGAAGAAAGGTTAAAACGCTTGGGGCTCTTTAGCTTGGAGAAACGATGGCTGAGGGGTGACATGATTGAGGTTTATAAGATTATGCATGGGATAGAGTAGGTTAAGAAAGAAGTACTTTTCCCCCTTTCTCACAATACAAGAACTCGTGGGCACTCCATGAAATTGCTGAGCAGTCGGGTTAGAACAGATAAAAGGAAGTACTTCTTCACCCAAAGAGTGATTAACACATGGAATTCACTGCCACAGGAGGTGGTGGCAGCTACAAGCATGGACAGCTTCAAGAGGGAATTAGATAAGCATATGGAGCAGAAGTCCATCAGTGGCTATTAGCCACAAGGTATAGATAGGAACTCTCAGGCTGGGGCAAGGGATGCACTGTATTCTTGGTGCGGGGGGGGGGCAACAGTGGAAGGGCTTCTAGTGTCCTGGCCCCACTGCTGGATCTACTGATGGCACCTGGTATTTTTGGCCGTTGTGTGACAGAGTGTTGGACTATATGGGCCATTGGCCTGATCCAACATTGGCTTCTCTTATATTCTTATTTTCTACTTTTGCAATACCATTTTCTGCATCATTTGACATACCATGTCTAATACCTTCTTGCATTGTTTCTAATTTTTGTACTTCTAATCCTATTGCACTGCTCATTAGATATTTCAAGCTATTTGACTGCACTGACTTACACCATGTAATCTGCCTTGAGACTCAGCGAGAAAAGCAGAGTATAAAGAAATTAAATAACTTTTTAATTGCCAGTTTTTCATCCCTTAGAAATATTACAGCAATATATGGACAGCAGACAAATCCTTATAGTTTAAGTACTAAACATTTAATATTTTATATTCCTACTAAAAACGATACTTGTCCTACAACCGAGTCAGTTCCAGGATGGATAGCAGAAGAGAAGTTACATGTATGGCTACACCTTTAGAGCAATATTTGTTAAACACCCTCTTGGTATCTGAAATCCAAGACACCAGATAAAAAGGGGGGGAAGGTACATAATGAGCAACTGTGACTCCTTGGGATGGAAGAAATAAAAAATAAACATGTAAATGCAAGACAAAATTTCAGTAAGGTTATTATTGGGTGAAAGGATAAGAAACAATCTTACGTCGGTCGTCTTGTTTCCAGTAATGTAAGCAATATCTGAATTGCACTGACTATTGCAGATTCATTTTTTTCTTTATTAAAAATATTTGATAGCAGCTGCTCTATGATTTCTTTTCTAAAGACAGAAGAGAATTGTTAGAAACGTAACATTCTTTATCACAAATACATTTTGAAGAACAGGCAAACACATGGCATGGTGTTTTTTCTCTCTGGCCAAGAGCCCCCCCCCCCGAATGTCAACTATTTTCAGTATCAACTGTGCTAAAGAACCATTTTACATGTAGCGCCAAATAAAAATGTGATGGTCCGGAAGAAAAAGGAAAAATTCAGCACACACACTCCTCTCCACCAGGCCTCTATTTCAACTTTTCTACAGAAAAACGTGGGAGAACATCAGGGGGGGAAAGCCAGTGAAATATTTTCTCTTTGGGAATGACTAAACCGCCATACTATACTCAGAATAGAGTGTAGTATGAAAATTTTTATGTAAGATGTTCTAAATCATTCAATGACAATTCCTGTTCATATTTCATAGACATATGCAACATATTTCCAACCATATATTTTAATGAAACTTTGTCCACAATTAATATACTATGTGTCTGTGATAATACACAATCAATTCAACGGTTTCAATGATGTAACAAAGTTTAATTCAATATGCTAATACACTGCTAGCCCTATTGCGATGTTAAGAGATGGTGTCTATTAAAATAACCCACCTTCTTTTTTACCACAAAATCTGTTTGTTCTTTTAAATTTTCATCTTTTATTTTGTCACTGCCTCTCAGAAGGCAAAAGCTAAGATAATGTGCTACAATAGCACAGATCGCAGCAATCTGAAGCTCTCAGTAAATGTGATTTTACTTGTAAAAAAAACTACAGCATTTATACTTATTTCAGAAGTATGCTGAATCCTACAATGTTAAATACTAAGTCATAAATGATGTTTTTAATTTTGTTAAAGCAGTAAAAACTTCCAGAACTTCGACTTAATTTGTGATACTGTTCTCCCTAACACAAAGAATATATTTTACAAACTCGAAAGCAAAGAAATGTGTACATGCACACACAGCATAGCCATTATGCCAACATACTTTTCTAGTGTTGCAAGCAGGGGATCGGGTTCTGAACTGTTTTGTACTTGTAGCATCTGGTCTCTGCTCAGGCGGATGATCTCACAAAGTGACTGGGATGCATTTGAATGTCTCTGAACAACAAGAGCACAAAGCAAACAAACAAACCATTACAATGTTCATTGGCAGGTAGCTCCAGGAATTGAATTCAATACAGACAGATGAACCTATTTCCCAGAAGCAATACAATCAACATTAAGATATTTAATTAACCCAGTGTAGTGTTCATGGGTTCCATGGTGCCTGCGAATGTGTTTCCTGGTGTCGACTTCCTCTTTTCTGAAAGCATCTCTAACCCAAAGCAAACAGCCAGACCTGACTTTCCTCCACCTCACTGGAGCAGGAGGACCCATTACCAAGGACTCATTGCCTTTGCCTCCACAGGGAGCCCTCAACAACAGGACTCTTGGCTTGGAACCAGTGTTCCCTCTAAACTGAGTCAGTGTGAGCTAGCTCACAGGTTTTTTAGCCTCCGTCCCACACCTTAGGAAGGAGGGCTCCAGAGCAAGCTAATTTACGCAGTAGCCAAATCGCTCGCTCACAACTTTAAGGCCAGTAGCTCACAAAGTAGAGTTTTTGCTCACAAGACTCCACAGCTTAGAGGGAACATTGCTTGGAACCTCCCAATATTTTTGGATTAGTCCCAACTCCCATGGCAGCCATTTGCTGTGGTGCCATTCAATGTTCTCAAAATTCCAGAAGTGCCCGTAGGTTCAACAAGGCCAGGGTTCCCGGCCCTAAAATATGATCACTTCACATACAGCTCTGGATTAAGATAATCTAACTGTACGGATTTCATCAGCCAAGGCAAGCATATTCAAAACAGATTTATACTGTCTCCCCTTCCCCTGAGGCTGAACCAGAAAGCTCCAACTGTGGCCGTGCGGGTCTTTACCGGGACCCCCCCAGACGGCATGCATCCAACCTGTGCTGTGCGAGCTGCACTGGCTTCCAGTAAAGCACTGGATCAAGTTCAAGGTGCTGGTTCTGACCTTAGGGATCTTAGTGGTCAAGGACCAAAGTACCTTCGGGACTGCGTCTCTCAGTACGCCCCCCCCCCCCCCGAGCATTATGCTTGGGTAGCAAAAATCTCCCAATGGCCCCTCGGCCAAGAGAGATCCAGCTGTCCTCAACCAAGGCTGGGGCTTTTTCAGCCCCGGCCCCCACCTGGTGAAACTCTCTGCCTGAGAACATCCATTCCCTGTGGGGTTTATTACCTTTCCGTAGGGCTTGTAAGGCAGAGAAGTTCCATCAGGGATTAGGATGAGGACAGTGATGGGACAGTAAGTAGTCTGGCGCTCTCAGGTCTCTCCTGTTCCCCCACTCCCCCTCACCACCACCACCCCCCGGGGCTATTGGAAGTTGCAATTTTCTGTTGAAATTCCTCGCCATCTTGGAATAGCCTGTTTTATTTATTGACTAGAAATAATGCCCGTTGGGGAAATAAATACAACGAGATCTAGAAAGAGGCTCTGGGGGAGTGCTCTGGCTTTGGGCAAACAGTGTCAGTTTCCTGTGGCGACCTCAGCAGGGAACGGTGGCTAAAAGTCCAAATAATTAATGAATAAATAAATAAATAAATAAATAAATAAATAAATAAAAGTTACAATTATATGAACAAGAAACATATTCCTTACATCATCATCTTGAGAAGGATGCACAATTTCCACAAGTCTCTGGATAATTCTCTCCTCGTTTAACCACTGTTGAGACATGTAATTTTTTACAAAGTATTTTTACCCTCCAGAATAGGATATAACTATTACAGAATACACTCATGTTTAACATTAAACTACATTCTCAGATACTACAGAATAACTTTCTACAATCCTGTAAATTTGCAGAAGAAACAGTATCAGCAAATATCATGTAAGCCAAATATATTTCTTGACGTTAAGCACCAGAACAGTTGCTGGGCCAGATGATCTATTAACATGGTTTACCCTCAGTGGGGTTTCTGTTCTTGAAGAAGTCTCCCCTAAGTTGGCTGGCTCTCCAGTTGAAACCCTACCTGATCTCAGGAATAAGGCAACATTTTGGGTAGTAAGAACAATTTCTTCTAAGCACCCTCTCTTAATGGCAAAAGATAATTTGGTTTACCATGGAACTGGAAGCAATGAGGCAGCAGGAACAATGACTGCAGCGGTAGTGGTAGTTTCATATTGAATCTGATTAAGCAGAGGACCCACAAGAACTTGTGAGGGGGGTTCTCATTTTCATCTCCCCCATCATTCCCTCTTCCCCTTCTCTAAAAGCTCCACAACTTTTCCCTTCTTCATGCTTCATTTTCTCCTTTCCATTCGACAGTTAACCTTTATCTGTCCCTGTCTTTATCTTTCTTGCCTTCCCTCCTCCTGCTATCCTCTATCTGGGAAAACTGGCCTAGCTGTGCGCTGCTGGCTGCCAGGCCAGGCCCAGATGTACACTAGGGAAACCTGCAAGGACTTGTGGGGGTCACCTCATTTTCACCTGTATCCCCTTTTCCACAGTCTGTTTTTCTCTCTTACTGGTGACTTTTACAGCCTTAACTTTCAATGCTTCCTTCTCTCTTTCCTACCCACCAACCAATCTACTTTTATCTGCCACCCATCTTCAGCTACGTTTTCTATATACTGACATCATTTATGCCCCTCGTTTCTCCACAACAGGGACCCAAAGCAGTCTGCATCATTCTCCTGTTCATCACTGTTTCCTCACAGATACCCTAGGAAGTAAGTTAGGTTGAGAAAGTGTCACTGGCTCAAGGTAACCCAGTGAGCTCCCATGGCAAAGGGGTGGCTCAAACCTGGGCATTCCGAATTCTAATTTGAAACTTTAACCACTACACCGGTTGCTGTTGAACAGTAGCAAGCAGCTTGGCCTGGGTGAGTCATGCCGGCTGGATTGGTAGCAAGACACCCAGTGGTTGCTGCTGGCCCTTGGCCTTGATGAGTCTTCCTCTTAAAGGCCAAAGCAGCCCTAGAAATGACCCTGCCTTTTACTGAGAGAACCCAAGAACTGAAGGCTGGCAATGCTGCTCTGGTTGCCTAGGAGCAGCCCCTGGTGGCATTCCCTTTTTAAAGCTACAGATACTGCTTCTATTGGGGAGTGGGGGTTAATCTCCCACTGTGTGCGTGTGTGTCTGCATTAGATTTCAGATTTTCTTTTCAAACCTGGGATGTTTTTCACATTTGTAGAAAGAGCTATCTTGTCTGTTCATGGCTCTAATCTCTAGGTCTAAGTATCCACAGATTTGGCCACATTAAGAATTAGATATATTGATGATACAAGCCCATCTGCAAGGAAAGCTCAACTTCACCACCACTACTGCAGCTATTCAGTGCCAGGCAGCAATGTTGTTCAGGGTAGCACTACATCTTTGACACACTGGAACTCAGGAGGAAGCTGGTAGAACACTAAGTAACGTGCTGTGCCTAATTTGTAAAGCGCTATGCTGATAAAAACCAATTATATACAATCTGATTTGAACTCCGTATTCATTACAGTTTAATTTCCAGAGCTGGTCTGATTCATATGGGTACTGTGCATCCTAAGACGTTAGAGACCAGACTACTTGAAGGACTGCCTTCTCTCACACTGGTGTTGTGTTTTTATGCTGTTGTAGGTTTTTCATGCTTTTGGGTTAATGTTCTGTTTTACTGATAGATTTTATATAATTATATTGTTAGCCACCTCGAGGCTGATTTTCTTCAGCAGAAAGAGGGAATATAAAAACACACAAACTGAAATCAACATAAAAACAGCTCACTCTTATTTACCTTCAAAACACTGTATCAAAATTAACCTTTATTGTTATAAGGCAAGGCTTCACGCCATGAGGACCTTGGGAAGACTGCAGAGCCTTCCCTATCTGCAACTTCCTAGAAAAAATTCAAATACTTATATTTGCAAAAGCTTTTATTTATGGGACTTGGGCACAATACAGACCAGAAGCAGGGAACGGGACAATTTCTGCCTCAATATGTCCACACCACTCCTCTCCTTCATAAATTCAGAGGTGTGTGGTGGAAATGATGTCAACTTTTTCAGCTTGTTGCAGCCAGCCATGCTACACAGCTCAACTGTATATGACGCTCAATGCATTAAAACCTTGCTATGTAGCTACCAATGAACTCAATAAGGAATAGCAGAAGTAACATGTAAGGAGGGGGGCCGAGCAAAAGGGGCACAAAGCCCAAGGTATAGAAAGGTGGATGGGGTAAGGTAATTTAGGACGCAGAGAGATCTGAGGGGTATAGAAAGAATATGTGATAGATGAGTCTACAGAAAGATCGCTATACTGGGAAAAACAGAAAGTGGTAACATCAGTGGGGACACAGAGAGCATGAACTATGAAATACATTTTTCTGTGTTCTGTGAGAGAATAAATATGTCTAAGTGGTGTCTACTTATGCAGCAGCTTAATTTCTCTTTACATTACTTGCTATTCATGCCTAACATGTTTAAAGTGAATTTGTGGGGGCAAGGTATTCTGAATTCTTCAAACATTACTATTATCACTTCATATGAAAAATCTAATTGGTGGTTTGTGTGTGTGTGTGTGTATAGTGTGCGTGTGAATGAATGAATTTTATTGTTATGGCGCTTAGCCAGCGATATATAGTGTGCGTGTGTGGAAAAGAAATGTTTGGAGCCACAACAGGATGTTATGAAAACCCTAAAGTAATTAGGTCTCTAGATACTGGCATATATGTCACAGGCCAGGTTGCATTTAACTATAAGGATTTAAGGATCAAAAGATTTTGTCTACCCAGACAATAAACAAACAATTTGAACATGATCAACTGTACAACCAATTGAAATTGAACTCATCCAAATTCAGAGGCATAATCTATGGGGTGAGAACAGGTATTTTAAAGGCTGTACAACCTTCCTTTTGCAAAGTCAATCTTCCTGTTGCTTTTTAAAAATGGACTCTTGTGTACTCATTCATTGGTTACAAGTCAGGCTTAAAAGAAGAAGCTATTACACTTTGCTCTTACAGTTCACTCCCATGTCCCTAATAAGTTACTCACATTTAATACTTCTTGCCTGGGCTGTGGAGGTTCTATGCAGGTCAATAGCCTGAGCAACAAGTCCATAATAGCAGAGGTCCCTATGTGCTTTATAATGAGGTCTACAAAATCATGCTTTTTCTTTAAGAAATCCACAATCTGTAAAAATATATGGACAGAGTTATGCTTTAAAGAAAGTAATTTTTAAGGTTGCAAATAAAGAAAAAAAGGAGCAAAATATTTCCAGACAAATTCACTTTCTATAATAATCACTGCAAAACTGATCAGAATTGCTGAACTATAGTCTGTAGCTTAGCCCCATTTCACAGCAAACTTTTTCTAAACTGGGCAGACAACTGTAAGGGACTCCTATAATCAATATAATTAATATAATAAGCAATATAATCAATATAATCAACTCCTATAGTAAGGGACTCCTATAATCAATTTGCAGCAGATTATTAAGTCCAGAGGTTGGTGACCTCAGCACTTCAACAAGTGACCTATGAAGAGTCAGGATACCATACCATAAAGGGGAGACAGTATACAAGGATAAGAAAAAGAAAGCAGGTCTTTAAAACACCAGCTAAGATTTAATAAGAGAAGGACTAAAGTGTTAGGCAGTATTTACATGCTGATAAGCTTTTTACACTCATCTGAAGAAGAGACAAAACAAGCTTAGTGTGACATTATAATGTTTTAATGTTCTTGGATAATCTATTGTCACGTGTATTTTTGTACAGTGCAATAAATGTTTGGCTCTTTACTGGTGAGAGAGGCTAGATACCACCTGGCTCCTCTCTGCTTGGCCCTCTGAACATTAAAAAAAACCCTCATCCTGGATACAGGGGAGTATTTCAGCAGCACTCACACAGCAACGGAGACGAATACTGGGAATGCAGGATGGAAAAAGGAGATATAATTTATGTTTATTGTAAGCCATTGTGAACAACACGGGAAATCCATATAGAAAGATAATTAATTAATTAAGAATAAATGTTCTGCTTTAGAATAATGGCACAGCTAAAGCACCAAACCTTTTTGCTGGCCAAGAGTCTGTAATTTTAACTTAACATCCGTATGTGTTAAAAGAAGTGGGTGGGGGACAACTGTGCAATCTTGTGCCAGACTGCAGAGAAAAAGAATTATACTTGCAGGGAAAGACCTGTCCACGATTCCCTCATCCCCTCCACATCAAAATGTACTCATTACTTTAAAATGAGTTTCGTGGGTGTCTATGTAAGTAAAGTGTTGCCAGGTCACCGTCAACTTATGCCAACCCCAACAAGGGGATTTCAAGGCAAGTGAGAAAGAGAGGTGATTTGCCATTGCTTTCCTCTGTAGGCTTTCTTGGAGGAAAGTACCAACTTCCAAGGACCAACCATGCTTAGCTTCTGAGATCTGACAAAGTTGGGCTACAGCATGCTGACTTCCTTCCCATTTCATATAGATATTATTAACTGAAATGCATATTTATTCAGTTTTCCATGATAACTCAAAGTCTGTTGCTCTTCTAAAAAGAGCAGTTGAGTAGAGGTTTCAAGCACAGACTGCAAAAAAAGGAAGAATTATTTAGTAGTTACCTGTTCTGGTTTTCTGCTAATAAGAATACTTAGCACCTTGCTGAAGAAACTGGCCAATAATGGGTTTAAAGGGGGCTCATTTAAAAGAAAACTGTACAGTTTTGTTAGTAATGATTCTTCTTCTCCCAGTCTATCATTAATCTGTGAAACGTCTGAAGTAAGCAGCTCACAAGATATGTTTGGGTACCTAGAAGAGACCAACTGACATTATTAACCCTACAGGGGGAAAAATTAATCTTGCAAATTTCTGTTAACAAAGTTGTTTTATATTATATGCAAAGCATGCCTTCATATGTAGCTTCATCAAAAGTGCACAGAAACAGTTTACTTAGAAAAATTAAAGATCACTACACAGTCTGAATAACTAAAAACGAACATTAGCTCTTCCTGTTTTTCAGCCTACTGTCCTTTGAAATGAAACAAGATGAAATGCAACTTTCACCACATGTGCAGGTTCGTGGGTCTTCTGCCTATATCATTTCAATGGGGGCTGCCGCTGTGGTGGTGGAAAGTGCCATCATCTCACAGCTGACTTATGGCAACCATGATGGGTTTTCAAGACCAGAGGAGTTCAGAGGTGGTTTCCTGTCGCCTGCCTCTGTCAAGCTTGGGGGCCTTGCTTGCCAAATGTTTCCTATTTTCTTACACTCGTCTGCTGTTGCATTAGGGGGTTATTGTCCCACATTTCATTATTCCATTGGTTATGGATTCACACATATACTTCTACAAGTCCTATGCTGCACACAACTAGAGATGTGAAGGCCCGGGAAAAAAACGGACAAATTTGGGGGAAAAACATTTTCCCCCCGTTTTTTTCCTGAAGCCTTTTTTGTTTTTTTCCGAAAAATTGAAAAAAAGAAAAGAAAAGAAATTGATTATGGAACATTTTATTTTAACATGATGAATAAAATATTTTAAGACAAGGTGTTCAAATATTTTCCAAATCATATATAAAAATATGTATGTATGGTATCAGATTGATCTAATTTCTGTGCACTGAGGACAAGCAAGTCCTAGGTTACAAACTGAACTCTCCGATGCAAGAGCAAGATGCATTTCTTCCTTTAGGAGGTGCGATTGTCAGAAGAAAAGAAAAAGGTTTCAGTTTTGTTTTTGCATGTGGGCGGGTATTCTGTTTGTAATAACTGTTTGGATACGCTCTATTTTTAATATGCTAGTTGTGATAATTTCATGCCAAGTAAAAATGTCCATAGTAATGTTTTATGTTCCTAAAGTAACGGAATGACTTTCAATCTAGAAAAGACAAAAGAAATGCTAATGTAGCATTTTTTTCAATTTTTCCGAAAATTTCCGTTTTCAACTGGAAAAAAACCGGGTTTTTTCCGAGCTTCAAGGGGGGGGAGTGGATGTGAATGGCTATCTGCTTTGCTTGGTTAGTGTCAGCTTGTGACAGTTCTCACGTAGGGGCCCTCCTGAGTGTGTTGAGAACACCTTGGGTAGTATGTGATCTCATCATTCTGTATGACCTTGTAGTCTGGGGAGCTTTTAGATAACATAACCGTTATCTAAAATGGTTGGAGCCTCTCTCTACCTCTTAATAAACAAATCTTGCTGCTACAAGAGTGTTTGTGAGAGTGACTGCACCCAGGACTTGGCAGCCTCCATGTCACAACCCTGTTACTCCTTGGAGGTCTCCCATCCAAATATGAACCAAGGCCAGCCTTGCTTAGTTTCCAAGATCTGATGAGATCGGGCTAGCTTGGGCTATCCAGGTCAGGGCAATGGGGTTGCTTGTAAGATGATGTTTAATTATTATTCAGATTGTAACTCTGACATACTGTGCTCACTATATAAAATAACACATGCAGGAAGAATTCCCACAGTCAGCATTAATGTAATCCACAGATTATAGCTCTGTCTTCTTAAATATACGATGAATGAGTGAAAGTTGATAAACCATACTATAAAGACTCAACCAATACAAAGGCAGCAAGTATAATATAAACGTCAATGAAACTATTGTGCCATATATAGTGCCGGTATCCTATTTTCTCCTTGCTTTCCCCTCAGACTTTCAAATTAAATTTTTTTCCTACTTGTATCTGATTTTTTCATCCATGTCTTGAGGTGGCTCTTCTATAATGAATGAAACTAGATCTTCCAGACATTCTGATTTCAAAAGAAACTCTATCAGCTTGCGATTTTGAGCTTTGCACTCCTGTAAAACATCTTCTTCATCCATTAATTCCTTCAGTGTTACATCTTCTCTCTCTAGAAGTGTGTCTATATGGGATGATGAGTGAAGATCAAATTTCCAAAACATGCTGGTCTAGAGAAGAGGAAAAGCATATAAGTCTTAATTAACATACTGTTAGTGCCACTTGCCTCCTGCAGTTCTTAGGAAAGCCATCTCCCTACTTTTATATTGAAACTGCAAAACCAGAAACAGAAAGCAGTGGAAAGCCGATATGCCCATGTTAAACTGTAATTAATCAGTAGATTTGATTTAAAAGGTGCCTTCACTGATAAGCCAATGTATTAACTTTTCCAATAAAGTGGTTAGCTAGTTCTAAAATTTTAACATTTTTGACATGTTAATGCAACAAGAGTGAGGAAAATGTTAGTTCAAAATAGAATTTTATGAAATCTTCTCGACCCTTTGGTCTAACAGCAGGCTACTGTGGAGTTAGATAAGGGGGTGGTAGTTATACCACTGCTGATCCAACCTTCATTTGTGGGGTGTCCATACCCACTACTATCTTGTACCTCTATGGATGCTATTACTAGAAACAGGATTGAGCCCAATGCTAGCTAATACCACAAAATCTAGCTATGCTTCCTCCAGTACTGGTTTTGACAGAATTTGGGGATACCTGCTACAAAGACAACCATCAGAAACAGCAACTGTTCATCAGTGTTCCCTCTAAACTGAGTTAGTGTGAACTAGCTCACAGTTTTTTAGCCTCTGCCTCACACATTTTTGTCTTGGCTCAGGAAGGATGGCTCCAGAGCAAACTAATTGATGCAGTAGCCAAATTGCTCCCTCACAACTTTAATGCCAGTAGCTCACAAAGTAGAATTTTTGCTCACAAAACTCCACAGCTTAGAGGGAGCACTGCTGTACATATATATCTTTGGCATCATATTGTACTAATGGCCTCAAGTGATGTTTCTAGCAGTAACTATTAATGCAAACGTATTAGCTAGAACCGCAAAAGCATTTCAGAAACACTTCCTTAATGAGTTAATCCTGCACTATTAAAGTAGTGAGTTTCTCTTAATTTCACAAAAGACGAAACAGGAGCTCAGTTACTAGTTATCATCACTGAATGTCTTTTAAGAAAGTGTCTTCTCAGATTTGGAACTTGTCCACAAAAATTATACCAGCTTACAGATCAACTATGCTCACTGGAAGACCAAGAACAATTTTCACTGCTACAGCAGTTATCCATACATCAGCAAATCACACTTAGGAGAAACAGGACCAGGGTCCCGTTCACACGAGGGGATTTGGGCCAGTAGCGGGACGGTTCGGGGGCGGAGCAAATGGCCGCGATCACACCACAACATCTGGGAAGCGTGGTGCTTCCGTCCCCGAACTGGCCCATCCACTCGATGATCCGGAGCAAGTAGGAACCACCTACCGAGGTGGTTCATCTCCCTGCTGCGCCACAAACCGGGAGTCTGATCGCCGGCGCAAGGATGCGCCGGCGCGTCCCCGGCTCCGAGCCGAACTGCGCATGCTCGAACATTCGGCTGGCTCGGCGTCCGATCTGTGTTTTCTCCCCGGCGTCTGATCGTGCCGGGGAGAAAAGGCAGCGCGGCCAGGGGATCCGTGGGATCCCGCCGCGACGTTTCAACTTTGGCGCGGCTTTTAAAAGCCACACTTTTTGCCGCTTTTTCCCCTGCCGTGTGGCAGGGGCCCAGGATTACATTACAGCTAAACCATACTGTGTTATTTATGTGACATGCCAGAGTATGGTAGCCCACAACAGGATGTGAAAATCAAGAACCACCTTGTAACTGCCACTTGACAGAGCTGAGAAGCTCCACTGGTAAACACTCATGCAGTAAGTAAAATGTGAAAGCTCTACCATGTGGAAGCTCTACCTGCACTATATCAACGCAGAAGTGTTAAGGCAGCCTTGGTTCTCTTCTTTTGAGACTACCAAAAATAGAGCTGCGACACATGGCTCCTTCTGCATCATATTAAATACAGGCCAGCATTTATGGCACTCTTTTGCTCTCTTTTAGTTTAAAATAGCTAGTAGTAAAGAGAAACACAGTTTGCCTCTATGGAGCAGGAAGTGAAAAAACTGAGCTACTAAGTTCACCCAAAGTTGTTAACAGAATAGGCTTTTAAAATGCACATAGTTGGAACGGAGTTCCACTGAAATCAATAGGGCTCATGTCCAAATACATGTGTTTAGGACAGAGATGTCAGTCAGCATTTAAGTGTTATATTCCCCAGGCATACAAGGAGAAATGATCTGTTTTTAATCATGCAAAACTACCAACAAGAAATTTTAAACCTATTTCTAGGTTTCAGTTTTCTCAGCTATGAAAATTCCTGAAGTATGAAAACCCACTGTTTGATGATAAAGCATATCCTGTATGCATCAGTAAAGTCACTAGAGATCAAAAGTTAATATTCGAAAGGTAAAGATGGCCAGAAGTTAGCAATCAATTAAACTTTAATAATTAATTAAATTATTAGTATGTTGTATAGCTTGGATTCTATACATTGGATACAGTCCAAAAACAAACAAAACTGAAGTCAAACATTGGCTTATTTCTTTGGCCACTGCAATGATTTCTTGCCAACAAAAGAGATTAGCTTTCAATCCAAGAAGCAATGTGTATTCTTTTATGAAAAAAAGTTTCCCAGACTTTAGCCCCAGAGAAAGCCATCTTTGTGAATAAACAGCTTCAGATAAGGAGTTCCAGAAAAATCCTGTGCCATTAAGGTGGCACTCCTATGCATATTTACTAGGGAGTAAGATCCATTAAACACAATGACACAGACTTCCAAGTAAACATGCACAGAACAGAACTACATAAAAATCCCCAAGCTACCATTAAAAACTATTGGTGATTAAACTCATGAGTTTATTCGGGAAAGAAGACTGACAGTAAAATAGCAACAACAAAAAAGAAAGCATACTACTGCAAACATGTTACTGCGTTATTTCACAAACTGTCTCCCGGGAAAGCTGTATAAGGGGCTGGTCTCTCAATATTGCAGATGCTGACCAGATTACTCCATCACTTTTCAACAGGAGGCCAGGACCCTTGGAATAAGGAAAAAACACCACAAAATGGATCAAAGGGGAAATTACAGGAACCCTTAAAATAAGAGAACCGGTCTTAATTAATCCTACAGTATAACTATCTAAAACTTTATTAGGATTGCTTTTAAATATGTGTTCTGTGACTCCCAGTAAAATGAGCCCCCTAAACCTATGCATGGGAAGTGAGTCCCAATGAGTTCAAGGGCACTTACTCTTTGATAGTAAATGTGAGTAGGACTGCAGTCTGAGTTTCCTATGAAATACTGAAGACAATTAAAAAAAATTAAAATAGTACTCAAGGACAGCCTGGATTTCATCATACATTTCATCCTTTACATTAAATGGGCCATAGGGTTCTCATGTACAATACCGTTAAAACTTGATCATTGCTAGGGGCACAGTTGATTAGTCTAAGACCAATTTCACACAAGAGCTGCGCCGCGGTCGCGCCTCCCTTTGCCCCGCTTCTATTGGTCAATTTCCCACTCAAAGCCGCAGGGCCGCATTTTGACCCGCGGCTTCGCCCGATTTTCCCCGCAGTTTCGTGATCCTCAGAAAACAGGATCACGAAACCGTGGGGGAAATCGGGTGAAGACGCGGGTCAAAATGCAGCCGCGCGGCTTTGAGTGGGAAATTGACCAATAGAAGTGGGGCAAAGGGAGGCACGACCGCGGCACAGCTCCTATGTGAAATCGCTCTAAGTCTAGTTACCTCAAATGTCAGTTCACTCATTACAGTCACAATGTCCAGAGATCCATTTCTAGTTTGTATGTTTTTTTGCTTCCCACTTTCACTCTGATTAACAAGGTTCGCCCAGTTTGTTTCTTATATGCAGCAAAAGAAACTAATTTCAAAGACTATACTTTTAAAGAACATGACACAAATTAGTGGCAGGCTTTTCCCCAAAGAAGCAGGAACACTACACTGAACGCTCAGTTTAAAATACCATCTTTAGCATTATGTTATATGGACAGACAGGACTCTGAAAAACCTTTCCAGAATATGTTGTTAAAGGCTTTCACGGCCAGAGTTCATTAGTTGTTGTAGAATTGCCAAGACCATGGCCATACAGCCCGGAAAATCTACAACTAACTTTCCAGAATATATTATTGCTTTAACCTTGGAGCAGGCATACATTCCTGCCCCTCTCATTTAAAGAGGATTGGCCTCTCTGTGCATTTTGTGAGAGACAGAGCTGTGGTCCACCTCAGCTTTTACTACTGTAATTTTAAATCTAATCAAATGATTTGACCAGTTCCATCTTTTTCAAATGTCCAAAGCTGTCATCCTTCTAATCTGGTTGTTTGCCAATATGTAAATACGTGTTTTTTCTTAATCACTTGCAACAGAAGGCTCAAAACCTCTGCTTTTAAGATTATGTGAACAGGGCAAATTTTGGAAAACCAAATCAACACTGTGAAATGTGAGACATGGCTTAAGATGGCCTCAAACATTTGATTCAAATGTATCAGGTTTCTGAAATGTCTTTGTGCATCTTATCTATCCAGTCACCCTACCCTTTCATTCTTTTACTGGGAAGAAATCTTTTTAAACCACACACAAGGGCATTCAAATTGCCTCTTCAGTAGCTCCTGGGAGGGACTGGTCTAGGGAAGACATAAGTTTAGTCAAGCATGGCTTGAGTATGGTTCTGGATGCCCTTTCATTCTCAGAGAAGGTGCTGCTAACTCCATTTTGAAATGATTTGAATCGAAGAACTCTGGTAACAAAAACTGTGTGACCTACCTGGCTTTAAGATCCAGCACCATTTAGTTTAGGGACCTTGCATTTTATTACTTTTTGAATGACTTTTGCTATTTTTAGAAGTTTTCTGATTTCTTTAACCTATAAATTAGATTGGCTCAGTAAATCTGCAGAAGATACTAAATTGGGAGGAGGTAGCAAGTACAGGAGGAGACAGAATCAGGAAAGAGGATGATCCTGACATGCTGGAAACCTGGGCTAAAACTAACAAAATGAATTTCAACAGACATAAATGTAGAGTTCCGCATTTAGCTAGGAAAAATCAAAAGC